CCCGACTAAAGGGTCCTGGGTTCAGTTCCAGCCAAGGACATGTACCTCGGTTGCAGTCTTGGCCCTTGCCTCAGTCGGGAGGCAACCAATCGATGTGTCTTTCTTTTTTTAAAATATATCTTTATTGATTTCAGAGAGAGGAAGGAAGAGGAAAAGAGATAGAAACATCAGTGATGAGAGAGTCGTCATTGATCAGCTGCCTCCTGCGTACCCCCTACTGGGGATCGAACCCACAACCCGGGCATGTGCCCTGACCAGGAATCAAACGGTGATCTCCTGGATCCTAGGTTGATGTTCAACTGCTGAGCCACACCTGGCTGGGCCACTGTGTCTCTTTCACATCGATGTTTCTCTGTCTCTGTCTCCCACTTTGAAAAGCATTGGAAAAAATATCCTCAAGTGAGGATTAAAAAAAAAAAGTAGAGCTAGGATTTGAATCCAGCCTGGCTCCAGATGCTCTTTATCACTATATTAGATTTACTACCTTTCTAAATCTCCATAACTGTTCCCACCCTATTCCTTGCAATCCTCCTTACTACCCCCTCTTTCCCCTCTGCCTGGGCCAAAGCTGATACCCCAGGAAAATCACATGACAGTGTTAGATCTCCAGAGAGTAGACTGAATGTCTTTAGGTAGAAAGACATGCCACCATCAGAAGGTTGGACTCAGTTTTTGGATTTTGTTGAACTGACCACTGTCTTTGAGCTGCAAATCCCTTGTGATTCTTCCAAGGTGAGAATGAGCTGGAGGGTATGCAGTGAGGGAGCAGCAGGACTATGGTCACTCCATTAGACCCTTTCCTTATGCTGAAACCATATGGGCCAAAACAGTAGTCAGCACCGAACAGTATAAGGGCACCTAGACTGTTGGGTATGAGCCAGATTCTGGATACCATCTCATCACTGCCTCTCGGGTATGATAGCATTTCCATCTTGGATACCAAGACCAGAAGTGATTTCAGAGTAACACGTCCCTATCTGCACTGTGCCTAAGAACCCTAATGAACCCAGCCATACCATACCAGTCCCTCCAAACCAGGCTTCCTAATGGAACATGGGGAAAGTATCGAGGCAGCTTTCAGGGCTACATCAGGGCTTTGAAGAAGCCCCTGCTTCTGCATTCAGCTCTTCACAGCTCTCAGCACATTCTGAGATTTGAGGGAGGCACTCAAGTTATTAGAATTACAGTATGTTTATATGTGTGGGGGCGAGTGCATGGAGGAAAGGACATGTCTTGTGTCACATTCCATCATAAAGTGGAATTTGGGGAGGAGGCAAGGGCTTTAAAAAGCAATAAGACGGGTGGGAACGGGGTGGAAGGAAGCACCTTCAAGCAAAGAGCCATCAGTAGAGCTGGTAGGTGTAAAGGGGGGAAGGCTCAATGGATGGGATAGGGGATGTATGTGTTCTCTTTAAAAGTCCATGTTAGGGAGCAGGAAACCTGTTTTGCAGCTCTGGTTCTCAAGTCCATCTCTGCCTGACAACAACCCTCCTGGGTAAGGGTCTGAACCCAAATGGCTGCAGATATGTTAGTGGAAAACAAATTAGGATCTCTTCCATTCCCTGCTAAAACCCAACCAGTCTCAGAGTATGAGGGTGAAGTAGAAGGAAAGATAAGGAACAAAATTTGGGAGCCTCATAGCCTTCTATTCTTACCTATTCCTCTCAGGAGAGGCAAATTATCCCTTCTTCCTCAGGAACCATTGCCATACACACTCTCTTCCCTCACCTCCCCACACCCCTCCCCTCAACTGGAGCTGCTGCCATGGTTGCCAGGCATGGTTGCTAAGTCTCTGCATGGAAGGGTTGGCGTGGGCTGTGCTGCCACGAACATTACCATGGTGAATCAGGGGACACCTGGTATAGGCTGGGGGGCGGGGATCATGTGGATGTAAGCAACAACTCCCAGGACAGAATGAGCCTAAAAGGTGAGCATCTTGAACACCACTTCAGGTGGGGGCTGAGTGAGCTAGGCATTGTGGTAGTGGCGAAGGGGAGAGCTAAGCTGGAAAACGGGCCACTTTTATCATCTCAGTTGCTAGGGGATTGGTTTTGCCAAGGGAGCACACCATTCCTCCTCCATCCCCTCTGACAGGGTGCAAATGCATAAGCACCCTAGTCTGTCCTCCATAAGGCTAAGCAGAGCTGTGTGGGCACAGAACAGTATGACCCCAAAATTCTGGCTTCTGGATTGTGGGAGAGAGCATGCTGCAGGGAGAGGGCTCCATGGGTGCCCAAGGACAAACCTAGAATGGGAGTGTGGGGCAGCTACCCTGGCCAAGACAGATTGCTTTGTCCTGCTGGACCAGCAGTTAAGGGGATGGGGGTCACCCTTTTTGAGCTTGGGGAAGTTAGCTACCCCCAGTCACACAAAAGCTGCATGAAAGCCACCGCCGCCTCCCTCCACCACATGGAAGCTGGTTACTCATCTCCTCTCTGCACCCGAATGCCACTGCCGCTAAAAATAGCCCCCCAGCCTGGGCCAGCCCCTCCTGCACCCCAACCCCATGGAAACCAGCAAGAGTGGCAGGCAGAAACCTTGAGTTCCATTTCCATCAGCTCCCTGTCAGAGAAACTGAAGTCAGAGGCAGGAAGTCAAGGGCAAAACCCTGGTGGTCAAGCACCCTGACAAGGAGGGGAGTGAAGGGTTAAAATGGCAAGAAGGTTGAAGCAGTGGTAACGGGGGAGGGGGCACTGTCAGCTTGGCAAGAATAAGAAGTCCCCTGCCCACTCGTTCTGGTTCGGGGGACATGAGCAGTGGAAAGGGGCTCCCAATCCCGGGCCCCAGGGGGCGGCCGTGCACATGGGGGAGGTAGCAGCGCGGAGCCGTCCGCGCCATGTCACATGCGCTCGCTCACACACGCACAGACAGGCACACACGTGTGCCCGGGTATATATAGTCCCCAGTCGCTGGGCCCGTCGCTCTGCAGTGGGCGCCGGCTTCCTGGGCTGGGAGGGGGCTCT